AATCATCTTTACTATTACTATTATTATTATACTTCTGCTTATGTTGTTTTAGCATGGCAATAAAGCAGCTTCACTCTCTGTAGCTGAGCAGTATGTCCAAGCATTTGGTAATTTAGCCAAGGCTTCAAATACAGTACTACTCCCTGAGAAAACTGGAGACATAAGCTCAATGGTTGGACAGGTAAGAGATTTATACTGTATAATTTGCATTCTTATCATTATTGCATTGATATTGCAAGGCAATGGCAATTTATGGTCAAATGACCAAAACAGATCCTGCTCCTTCTAGTGATGATCCTTCACCACCTCCTAATGACAAACTCTCAGATTTTGAGAACATGCTTGATAAACTGAATAAAAGCATTGATGACACCCTGACCCAGAGGTTTGAGTCTAGCACTGGAGGAGAGACTGTTGCTCAGTATGAAGAGAAGAAGAAACAGGAGGACACTGAGGAACCACACTTTACTCTAGCGACTTCTGGAACCAGGAACAATCCAAGAAAGACTGATGATTACTAATAATAACCAACCAATCTATATTGTTTGTTGTTGCATTTAATGTTATTTCATTTATTGCAGCATAGAGATACTGCAATTGCAGCTTGCCATGTTGTGCATTCTTCATGATATTCCTACAATAAGATCCTATAGAAATGTAATGTAAAAGGAAAATACTGTAATATGCAACTTAAGGTAAAGAAGCAAAGCAGCTTTACTTTTGAGACACTTCAGTTGAATCAGTTCTGCAACAATGGAGCTAGTTTAGGTCTCTGATCTGCTGTAGTCTCTTTTCCTGGTAATGAAAATTTAGCATGCATGTTCATGCTCAAGACAAGAGGATTAGATTCCTTTGTCAATTTGATGCTAATCATGCTATTTATTTTATTAATTTAGTGGGTGTGGCTTAATACCATATATACATGTGATACAACATGCCTTTTATTGCTGTTCATGCTGGTACTTAACTGTTTCTTTTATGTCTCCATTTATGGTATGTGTGTGTTAATAGGTGCTGGAAAGTTCAATGAAGAAGATGTCAAAGAATTGAAGAGTGTTTGCAGACTAGCTTGCGATAAAGTGAGCAACTGCACTTGAATTATATATATGTATAGGTGTGGTTTTCCATAATGTAACTCTGTGGGTAGTTATAATGTCAAATTCATTGTGTATTAGAACAATGGCAGGGAGTAGGAAAATTTTTATAACCTACAATTATTACCAGCTTAAATCCAAAAAAACCCTTTAAAATTAATTTACTTGCATCTATTTTTTATTGAGCCTACGGGTAATTAGGATTGTTTATTTAAGATTGTGATTGTAATTTATTGCTTAACGTGAATAAAATAAACACATTACTTCTTCGGGTATCATTAAGTATACTGTCATAGATAATCTAATATTATACATGCTAGTGAGTATGCATATTACTTTAAGTTATAAGTCATGAAAAGAATTACCGTATAGTGCTTTAATTTTGCGGAGCTAAAATTTTGAGAATTGATAAAAAATCAATTTTTTACAGAATTAACTTTTGCAGATTCGCTATGTTAGTGCCACGCCTTTAATGGCAATTGAATTATTTAGCAGATCTTTAATTTTGTGGTTGCATGCTAACCCGGAAAAAAGTAAAGTTTTGCTCCTCAAAAATAAAGTGCTATACAGTAGCATGTTTTTCATTGTCATACTTTAATTATGCATCTTTAACAAAAAAGTTAAATAAAGTACAACATTATGTGAACAGTCCTAGTATATGACCCTTGCCATTGTGTTTTGAATATCTGACACAGAAGTACTCATTATTAATCAATGCATGTAATTATCTTGTTTACTGATTTGAGACTGTTTTACAATAACGTTTTCATATCTGCTTGAATATACACATGTCAATAATACAAACATCCCACCTCTTCCTTACATTAAATAAAATAACATCATTAGCTGTAAACACCATCTGCTGTTTTTTTAGCATCAGTCCATTAAATACGGTATTGTGTATTAAATTGATTTATCTCATTTATACAATACTATTAACAAGATCTCTTTTATTTTTGTCATTCACTCTTGTACTTGTGTTTTTAGGCTATGGTGAAGTTAAAAGATGGTTGTGATGTTAGTGAAGCAATTACTGTAGCTATTAGTGCACTGGAGGTATGTACATGCAATAGTGGGTAATTTTGAAGGGAAAATTTTTGTCAATTAATAAGTTAAACCGATAATACAATTAATAGAATTCTCCATTAACTAATTGTGGTACTGGCTCATGTCTAACTTATAAAGGAACTGCTGAATGTGATGCCAGTATTATAAATGGGAAAGGAGACTTTGCTTCTGTTGGAGCTGTTTCTGGTGTGTACATGTATATCCTTTAATTTGCTAAATCTCTTCCTTTCTCCATTAGGTGTCAAGAATCCAATAGTGTTAGCTCATCAGTTGTTGTTAAACCAGTCAAAAGGATTAATGTCATTAGGTCGTATACCACCAATGTAAGATACACTAGTGATATAGATGATGAGGTTGAACATTTATAGGTGTCTGTGTGGTGATGGGGCACACCAATGGGCTATTGAGAATGGAGTACCTGTTTGTAATCCCGATGATCTAATTACTGGTGATAGAAATATTTAGTATGTACGTGTAATATAATATTATTATTATTATTAATAGAAGAAGCAAAAGAGGTATATTTGGATCATATTGAGAGATTGAGAAGAGAAGATGCAAAGGAAGGAAGTGAGCAATGTGCTGCTAAAAGAAGAAAAGTCAATGATAGCCAAGTTAGCATATGTGTGTACTGTAGCTAGTAGCCTAATCTTCATAATAACAGCTGTTTTAAAGTTAGATCATTAGTAGCTTTTAGGCACTAATACATGTGCTTTGTTTTTTATTTTCTTTGATGTCGGTACACCCATTAAAGTTGTTGTTTATTGACGTATTAGAGTAAACTGGATACAGTTGGTGCTGTTTGTATTGATGCTAATGGATTGATAGGAGCTGGTGTATCCAGTGGAGGAATATCATTGAAACACACTGGAAGAATAGGACAAGTAATGACTAAGTTTATTACTGAAGATATATACAAGCACTGATTCAAACATAAGCAAACGTCACTATATTAAAGTCTCTCATACACTAGGCAGCATTTTGCTAGCAACATGTGTGGCTTGTAAGCATCATGTTGCCAAGAATAGATAGCTGTTCAACATGCTGCCTACAACATCAAAGTAACCACAGATGTTGCCTAGTGTATGTTGGGTTTAATTATATACAATTCAATCCTGTTGTTTTATAACATTCAATTCTCTAATGCATTGAAAGCTACAAGTTGTTTACATACAAGTCTTGCATTGTGTTTTGAAATGTAAAATGTCAGTGTTTGAATGGTATAGTATTAGAAAATTCACACTGCTTTTACTTATTGATACAAGTACATAAGTGACACTTTCACTCTTACAGTCCTCATTATAATTATTAATAGGCTGGTGTGTATAGATGTGGTTGTTGGGCCAAGAGACACAGTGACTCATCACAGATAGCATCCAGTGCATCAGGTACATATGTACCCTTCGTATACTACTGGCCTGATGGCTTTATATTCACGTACCGTATAATTGTTTTTTGAGGGAATTATATTTTGCGAAATCTACTAAAATACGGATTTTAATTTCGCAAATTCTACCACGTGCCATATTAAATTGATTTTTGCGGATTTTATTATACGGCAGGTGTAGGGGAATATCTCATTAAGACTCAACTAGCAAAAGAGATTACTACTTCACTGTAAGTTATACAGTATATACCTTTACTAGTGATGGTTTGTATTGTTGTATAGTGTGGGACAGTCAGTGACTATACAGAATGCCTTCCATCAGACATTTCTTGGTTTGTTGACTTTGTTTATAGCTACATGTACTTAATTCCTGTTCACTGTATTTTAGATAATGTTATTCTTGCTGGATGCAATACAAAAGAAGCTGGAGTCCTTGTGTTACATGTTTCACCATCAGGTAATCATCAAAGCAGAAGCTTTTCAAAACATCGAAGCACCTCTGAAAGAGGACATAATATTAGTGACTAGGTGTCCATAATAAAGAGGTCCTACTGTAATTAACTAATTATTATCAACTTTCAGCATTGATTAGTTCCTCTTATTTGTTCCACAGGTTCTATTGAGTTGAGTTGGGTACATTCTACGGATGACATGCTCATTGCTTACAATTCTAATGATAAATCAAAGGTATCGTCTACTGAATATTCTAAGCATAATATTGTTTCATTATTGTTTGTAGTCTTTTATGTCTCAACTGGAAGAAAAGGCAGTACCTGGAATAAGAACAACAGCTGGATGGCTTTCATTTTAATTATTATTGTTTTTATTTATTGTAAAAAGTGTGTAATATTAATTTGAGGTGGAGCTTTAGTTTATTCATTGGTGGAGTTGCTTTAAATTCAAGCTGTGCACTGCACAATTTCATTTTTTCGCAATGAAAGTTTGTTTCTTTTCTCTTGTATTGCTTTTTCCGCTAACCTTTGCAAGTGCTGAAAGTAAGCAATGCATGTGTAAAAGTGGAACTTGATAGTGTATTTTGTTGTAGGTGCATGCAATGCAATTATTTCATTTGATAAAAGTCACATTGCAAGAGCAAAGTATATTGGTGAATGTGCAATCTTTCAATGTACTACAGCACAATGGAAACTGAATGAAACTGATATCAATAATGATGCTCATAACATTATCAATGCTACTAGTGGTACACTGACTATACAAGGAGTGAGGAGCAATGATACTGGAAACTATACTTGTGGTGGTTTAGGGAGCATTTTTTTAACAGTGAAAAGTAAATTGCATTATTTTGTATTTAGATTACTCCTTTTTAGTACCTGTTATTACCATTACTGGTCAGTATATGAGCCTCACTGTTGGTAGTAGTGTCAGTATTATCTGTACTACAATGCCCTCCATCCCTAACAGTGTAATAAAATGGCATTCATCATCAACCAATGGAACTTATAGTAATGAACTGGTCATTAATCCAGTGATGCTCTCTCATAATAACAACAAATTCACTTGTACAGTATCATCAAGTTTACTGGCTACAAGTTTGACAAAGAATATTACTATTAGTGTAATAGGTTAGTTGATCATAATAGTGCATATATAGTACATAGTTATTATGATTATTTTAGATACTCTTACTGTGCACTTATTACCATCTTATGGCATTGGGGATAATGTATCAATAGTGTGTACTATTAGTCTCATTAGTACTATTGGTCCTTCACTTGTAGTGAACTGGTTTAAAGATGATAATATGATAACAAATAATATTAATACGAATGCTTCATCATCAAAAATTAATAGTACCCTGACATTAACAAAAGTTTCACTAACTAATGCTGGAGTATACACTTGCAAAACATCAATTAATGAGGGGTCTAAAACTAATACATTGTCTGATTCAAAGCCCTTGTGTTTAAAAAGTACACATTTATGCTATAAATATGCCATTCATTTATAGTTTGTAGATCTAGTTCCCTTTAATGAAGACAATGATACTTTCACAGACCTATCACTGGGATATAGTGCAACAATACAGTGTGTGGATTTCTCATCGCTCGATGGAATTACCATAAGATCCATAAAATGGACTGAACCAGATGGTACTATTGTCAGTAACAATAATACATTAATACTACCTAAAGTGGTGCCATCACTTGATAACACTGACTATACCTGTACTGCTGAAGTGGACACCAACCCAATGACTTGTTTACCAGACAATAAGACAATTATCATTAATACTAAAAGTATGTGACTAATAATATTATTTCATATTTATTATACTTAGGAACGTATGTGAGTTCAATCATCATGTCTTCTCAATTATTATTCTTAGCCAATTCACCATTGAAGATTAATTGTATTATTACTCTTAATACTGCAGTTGGTCCTGGTATAGAACCCACTGTCACTTGGTATCATAATATGACTAATCTTACTCGCAATAGTCCATTAATGAATGTCAATGACACTGTATTTACTTCAAAAATAATTATTAATTTAATAAAACTCTCTGATGCTGGAGTATATCAATGTAATGCTGAGATTGATTCTAATTTAGCTACTAACAGTATAGATGTAAAAGGTAATGTATCACATTAATTACTCAAATTCTTTTAAAATGTGAACTATTATTGATTCACCTCCTTTTTTAGTACCTACTATCAAAGTTACTGGTCAATACACTAACCTCACTGTTGGTAGTAGAGCCAGTATTAACTGTACTACAATGCCCTCCATCCCTGGCAGTGAGATACAATGGGATCCACCATCATTGACTAGTGATAGTAATGTACTGGTCATTAATCCAGTGATGCTCTCTCATAATAAAGTGACATTCACTTGTGTAGTATCATCAGGTTTACTGGCTATGGATTTGACAGAGTCTATTGCTATTAGTGTAATAGGTTAGTTGATCATATTACATTAAATTTTTATTGATGTTTATTACAGATACCAGTGTCTCATCTGTTACTGTCCAATCATTATCATCTTATGCTATTGGTGATGATGTATCAATAGTGTGTACTATTAGTCTCAGTAATGCTATTGGTCCTAATGTTTCTTCACTCGTAGTGAACTGGTTTAAAGATGATAAAATGATAACAGATAATATCAATAATAATAATTATGTTTTATCATCAACATTTACTAGTACTCTGACATTAACACAGGTTTCACTAACTCATGCTGGAGAATATACTTGTAATGCATCAATTGATGGATCTAATATAGAATTGACTGATTCAAAACCTTTGTGTTTACAAGGTAGTTAATGACATCTATACTTATTACATGTATGTACTTATTATTTTATAATGCAGTTAATAAAACACTACCATTAGCAACTGAAGAACTATCACTGGGTCAGAATTATTCAATTGATTGTATCACTGGACCAGCACCTACTGGAGTATCAGTATCCTGGCTACTTACTAATGGTTCTATTTATAGTAACAGTAATACACTAATGATAGCATCAATACTACCATCACATGATGATGTGCAATATACCTGTGAAATAATGATTGAGACTAATCCTCCTTACTGTAGTACCCAATCACAGGTCATTACTTTTAGAGTGAAAAGTAAGAGTCTAGGAATAATGATTGTAATATACATTCTTATGTTGTAGCTACTTACATCAATTCAGTGACTGTATTACCTACTTCAATAGTCAGTTCCATTAACTCTTCAGTGCTACTGGCCATTAACTCTTCAGTACTACTAACCTGTACTATTACTCTTAATACTGGGATAGGTCCTGACACATCATTCATTAGTCATTACTGGTATCAGTATAGCACTGATATTAGTAATAGGAGTACACCACTGATGATTAATGGTGACAGTAAGAGTCTAGTAACAACACTGAATATTACTAATGTTCAACTCTCTGATGCTGGAGAATATGAGTGTGGAGCTAGTATTGATGGTAGTAATACTGTTATACAAAATATGACAAACATTTGTGTTCAAGGTTAGTTCATAATGAAAATTAAAATTTTAATGAATCTTTCATTTAGTTCCTGTCATAAATATTCCTTCTGATACTGATCTAAGACTAGGAGATTTAAGAGAGTATGATTGTACATTAGGTTATAATTATAATAAATTTGAAGTACATGCATCATGGCAAGAACAAACATCTGGTGAAGCATTTACAAATCCTCTCATATTAACAGTGGATCAGTCAATCAACAATACAGTGTATACTTGTAGTT